AGTCAGGAAAAAGTAAACTGACTTTCACCGCCCAGCTCTTCTTGGCTAAACACGATGGGAATACAGAGAATAAAAGTGTGCGTTTGTGTGTGTGTGCTGCACTGCTGCTGAGGAAGTGTGTCTTTTGGGAGGGGAAAAACTTTCCAAAAGGTTCTTGAGAATCTCCGAATGTGCAGGATTATTATGGCACGCCACCAAAAGAATATACTCCCTTTTCGGAGACGGGCAGGAGTAAACGCCCGGGCAGCGCTTTCTTCCTTAAAAACTTGGGCTCGGATGAGTCACTGCAGGACCTGATCTGGTTCTCTCTTTCACACACACACTGGAGAAGAATGCACTTGGGTGGGGCTGCTGTTGAATTCCAAAAAATGAATTCCAGATGTGTGGGAGAGAGGCCAACCTTCCCTCCGCTTCCCCAGCTGGTGCTGCGCTGGGACCCCCCCTCCGAGGGGGGGTTGGATGGTTTGTTTTCCGTTGGGGAGCGACCTGGATTGGCAGTCCTGCACAGAAAGGGCTGCAGGGTTAACCCTCTCCCCCCCAAACGAACGCCCCGCTTGTGCTTGTGGATCGGCCCCCGCTCAGGGGCTGGAACAGAGGAAGAGTTGAACTACTTCAAAGTTTCTGCTGGAGAAATCTGGACGGGAGCCCAGATTTCACAGCCAGACCCAAAACTCACTGCAGTGCGTTGTTTTCTTTTTCAATAAAGAATCCAGGGAAGTGTTGATCCAATTTACTCCAATACCCGCCCCCCCCGTTTGCTGCTGCTGTTCTCCCCTCCCCACATATTTTAATTCTCCATCCTCCCCCCGCAGAGGATAGCTTGTTTCTCCGCAGATCAACAGACCCCGGAACAAAAATACGATGCGGTGTCTTCTTTCCGTCATGGGCAATTTTTTTTAACCAGTCCAACCTGAAAACTTCAGGGGAAAAGGCAGCCGTTTATCTGTTGTGTTCTCACGATCTGGCCTTAGTTAAGGGGAGTGGAGCAAGGCTGAGAAACTCTGCTCTTGAGGTGTTCTCCATGCTGTATTGCCCAGTCAGATGCAGTCAGAACATGCTTTGAAATACTGCTTTTGTTTTCATTTGCTGCACTCTGCACATGCACATGAAGCTTTGCCCAGACTTTACTAGGCCTGCACTTTGTCCATGCTTAGGAAGTTTAATCCTTGTTTTCCCTTACTGCGGTTCTATTGTGTGTCATTCATTGACAGCAATAAGGTGGTCTTCTCCTTCTTCTCCTGCTCCTCCTCTTCGCCTTCTTCTCCAGAAATACTGAGAATCCTCCTCCTCCTCCTCCTCCTCCTCCTCCTCCTCCTCCGTGAATGTGCCGGAGATCTTGGGAATTCCAGCTGCAAAAGTAGCAGATGTTGCAAGAGAAGGCACGAGTCACAGAAAGGGACCTCCTCTGCTGCGTGTGATCTTGAAGGAGCTTTGCAGTGAAAAGCCAGGAAAAGCAGGGCAACAAAGGAAGGAAGTGAACACCGCTGGCATGGCTGGCATGGCCGAGGTGCCCAATCGTGGCTGCCTGCTGCAGGCTGCGCTCCGGCTCTTCCTGCTTGCCCCCCCTTGGGCTTGGCCAGGGTAATGGCCACACATCCAATCTGTGGCCGAGAGTGACCCGCCGAGCAGGATGCGCGGCTGAATCACCCTTCCCGAGGGCCCCCGGGCGGCCAGATGGAGGCAGTTAGCCGCTCCCCATGGCCCTCGTCCCAAGCAAGGAAAGGGCACGGAGGGGAGCGGGGAAGGGAACAGGGAGGTGGGGAAACCGAGGCAGGCAGAGCCGACAGGATCCCTCGCTGGCAGGGCTGCGGCCGAAGGACTCAATTAGTTGGCAGTTTCTGGACTCGGGCAGAGCGAGTTTCGCGAGTCTCGTGGTGCAGAGCAGAGGCGCCAGACTGCAGGACTCTCGGCCGTCTTGGAGTGGCGAGCTGAGGCAGCGCGCTCCCCGGGATGGGCGAGGGCCCGAAACGTGTCATGCAAACGAAGGCTTAATTAAACTTTAATTCAACGCAACTCCGCCATAGGATTGCCTGGGACGGCGTGCAGTAAAGGCTGCGCACCCAAGCCTGGAGTCCCAAAAGTGTTAGGGGCCCCATTACCTGGTTGCCGTTAATTTGTACGTAATTATTATGACTCTCAGCTGCCTGTATGTATAAATTGCAACGGCCTTAATGATTGAATTGTTTGCCACCCAGAGTCGCTTGGATTGAGATGGGCAGTTGAGATGGGCGTAGTAAACTCTCAAGTCTCGGTGGTTTCATGGGGGTGTCTACGTGCTTCGCTCTGCAACAATACAGAAGTGATTTGCCCTTGCCTCTTTCTGGCATGTTGATGCCCAACCCTGGGATTTCCTGATGGCCTCCCATCTAAGGACTAATCAGGCCTGGCCTGCTTGACCTTTTGAGAATGCCCACGGTGCCTCTGGCACACTCTGGAGGTTAGACTGGGCAACGTTCCTTCCAGAATCACCTTTTTATAAGGTTCCAGCATGGGCAGGTGGAAGTCCACCGAATGGAAAGAAAAAGAAGAGAAAAGAAGTCCCACAACTCAGCTTGTTCAATCAGGGGTTCTCCACAGAAGCCCCCAAAATCCCTCCAGAAATTGCCAAGTGATTGTCATTTGTTTAACATGACATCAGGGGAAAACTACTTGCCGAGTCATCACGTTAACCGCACTCGATCACTTTAATTTAAATCGGTATCTATATTAAATCAAACAGAGCTTTCAGCCGGGCCCCACCCTCTTCCTTGTCCCAGCCTGCCTGCTTTAGCACACCATCCCCTCCAAGCAGAAAAAGCGTCGTTCACCTCTGATGAAAAAAAGGCTCTCTTGAACCAGAAGGAAAGCGAGCTGGCTCGAGGAAGGGAATTGCTGAGATTTTGCATCCTTCCAGGCACTGGTTGGCCTGCAACGAATCGCTCTCTGCCAGGGATGACTTTGGGGCAGCGCGAGGCCAACTCCGGAGGCACCTGGCTGAGATCAGATTCCGAGGCACCACCTTAAAGCCCCCCACACCGGGGGGCCGTTCTGGAGTTGCAGACTGAACGGTCGTCGGCAGGGACTTTTTGCCCGAGGCTGTCTGAATCCCCCTGCAGTTCACTCGTGGTTCACAGCGAGCCTAGGAAACTAGATTGAGTAAACCGGGATTCGTTTATAGGTGGCTGTGTTGTGCAAACGTATTCTGTTGGCATTGCAACTTGCTAATAAAATTGCTCAAGGCTTTCCATTGGGGCTGCTTTGGAGGAACTTCAAAACTTCAATGCACCGCTGAATGAATCCGCTCCAATCCAGAAATTAGCAGAGCACACACTCCTTGCAGGGCGGGGTGTCGCACTAGCTGTGCAAATGGACTTCGGGGAACTTCCTGCTGCAGACAAGGGCCAGCACCTTATTTCCAATTCCAAGTCCATTTGCATAGCCAATGCTTCGTTCCTGCTTTCTCAGCGCTTCCAGGATTGCGGCAGAGGGATCTGCCTCCGGGGAGAGGGGTCCGTTTGCAATGCAAGGAACTGGTACCCCTTCCAAAAAAAAAATAAAATCCAAAGAGGCTTAGGATAAAGTACACACATAGGATTCGAAATATTGGCCCTTCTCCCTCCCCCAGAAATCAGCCACGGCCAAAATCACACCGAGGGCATGGCCGTATTTGCCCTCACCCTGCCCGCTTGGATTGCGGGACTGTGCCTTCCTCCAGACACCAGGCACGCTCCCGCCAAGAGCGAGCCAGGCAGATGGGGCAACAATCTGATCAGGCGACATCTCCACACATCCTCCTCTTTCAGGCCTTAACAGAACAAGCTGACAGAGCTTGCAGGTCAGGGCGGGTGGATCTGCTTTTGCGCAGCAAGGACAGAGAACTGGGACGGCCCTGGCTTGATTTCCAGCGATCTCCAGCAGGAGGTGGAATGGACCGTTCCTCCACCTTCCTGGTGGAGACAAGATCCAGCAGACTGAAGCGGGAGATGGCGGCTCTCGATTTTTGTGAGCGCTGGAAACAGGAACTGGCTGCAGCTGCAGATTGGCAAAGTGGAAGTTGACACCCATCCTGCGGGCACCTTTGCCAGGCAGGGAAGAAGCCAAGCTGATGCCAGTTCGCCAGGGCATAAAAGCAGCAGAGGGCAGTGCAAACACAGCAAAGCAACTCCTTCGTCTCAGCTACTGCAAAACCTAGTAGCTCCACTTCAAAGACTGCTGTGAGGGCCGCCCCATTACCTTTCTGGCCCCGCTGGGCACACGACGTGGCGGAGCCCACAAACCTAACCGCTAGACAGGCAACACCTTGGCTGCTGATTGTGCTACTGTCTGAAAAAGTATAAGCAAAGGACAAATAGCAGCAGGTGTGTGTAGAGCAGGGTTTCTCAACCTTGGCCATTTTAAGATGGGTGGACTTCAACTCCCAGAATTCCCCAGCCAGCATGGCTGGCTAGGGAATT